AAACATTGTATACATTTATATATAAATATCATGTGGTCACCATTTCATCACATTACATGAAATACAGTAAGCCCTTTGGAATAATGTGTCACAAACGCAAAAGTACATCAAGGTAGTGTTACAAAAATTAATGCTTCGGTAATATTATTAAAAGTCGCTAGAAACTAACGAAGCGTTAAGACTTCTGTGTCAAATGTTCCAGACAATTGCCAGTCATCTGCCTCAAATAAGCAGCTGTAAAAAGTCCAAATGCAGTCGCGTCTTTTCGGCAGCAAAACACGTTTATATTAACCGCAGTCAAATGGTAGAATTGTAAAAATGTTCAATACTTAGAAAATCAAAATGTGCCATCTTTAAATGCTAAAACAAGTAATATACATGTATATATATTTATACTAGATTATCTCTTGAAATATTCACCGGTTTTGAAAACGACAAACTGCATCAAAAATTCTTTGATTCAAAATAAGAAAACAGAAACGTAATATTTCAACGAAAAGTTCAATGTTTACGTGAATAAATTTTGGAATGACAAAAAGGTATTTTAATCTTGATATGAAATAAAGTTATATATCAATATAAAGCGTTTGTATGATCCTGATTCAACTGATTCTTGCATTTAATGTAAGCGATTGAATTGTGGCCAGACATGAAATGAAACATCATTTTATTTTGATGTATTAAAATTGTAAAATATCAATGGCATGAAATTGCCATTGCCAAATATAGTATATAAATTGTGCAAGTCTTGCAAATAAAATAAAACTGTCTGAAAAATAAAATATTTTTACACTGTCGCAATCCATCATAATGACACCTATTTTTGTTTTTCTTTTAATAACTTGAGATAGAGTGATATATTTAATTGTCCGTTTTCTTGAGAGGTTATTAAAGAAGCACTGTAATCTAATGAAGTCCGTCAGAATGTCAGAATTGAGTATAACAATACATTGTACAATACCATTATCAAAAATGATTAAACAAATTCATCCTAAGTTCGGTCATATACGTATATAAATAATGCAAACGGAACGTGGCTACAAATTATCAAAACAAAATAACCCTCTATTCCTAGGTGCCCGGTCGTTGCTGAAATAATGCACGGGTAAACATTTGAAACCTTCCATGACTAGTGAAACTATAAAGTAATATATTGTCGGCATTTCATCCTTATCAAAGGTTCTCTTTCTCAGAAATATTTTTCACACCGACTTAAAACGAAAGACTTAACATCTCGACTAAAATATGTTTATACTCTGCTTAGGAAATTATATTACAAGTGATGATAATAACCTCTTAATTTTTAATCCAGAATTGTTCATTCTCCAACTTTACATGGAATTCAATATTATATATTAAATCCTTTATTGTTTGTTACTATATAAAATAGAAACGTGACATATTTACAATGTGTGTATTTATATTGCAGTGATGATGTACTATGTACAAATCCTAAATAAAATTATGTTCTGTTCTGTTCTGTTCATCTCGACTAATTTAGTGAGTGCATTTCGTACTTTTTAAAAAGCAAATTCATATCACATTTTCCACAGGCATGGCGTGAAAACGAAACAGTTCTCGTAAAATTCGGTAACTAAATCAACATGCATATATCGTCAGATCGCGCATGCCTTAAAGACACGGTTGATAAATATCTGCAGGCGTTCAGTGGAATATAAACGTATTGCATCGCAAATGAATTGATCATCAGCCCCTGTCACATGGTGATAAATAAAGCATTTATTTATCATTTTCTGTTCAAGGTATATGGAGTACTTTTTGTTTCTCCGATTAATTCAGTAAGAGAAAATCTCAAAAATGATATTTGTTTCATATAGATAAATAACATTTCACATTAATATACGAGAGGTATAAGACGTTGTGTAATCAATCAAAGTTATAGTGCGAAGACAGTTGATTGTTGTTATTTTTTTGAGTACGGATATCATGGGATCTTTTGCATCAAATAATGTCATTTTTCTTCAAGACATAGATATAAGTTTTCATTTAGACATATATATCAGTTATCATAAAGCCATAATATCAGTTTTCATTAAGACAAAAGTATCAGTTATTATTAAGACATAGATATCAGTTTTCATTAAAACATAGATATCAGTATTCATAAAGATATTTGTTCTTTTCACTATTGATTTCTCCTGTAACCTCAAGTATATATACGTTAGAGCTGTCATCGATACCGACAATATCGATGTATCGTTGATATTTTTTTGTCGATCAATAATCGATACACATTTTAAAAAATCGATACTTTTGACTTATAAATTAAATGTCTAGAAATTATACAATTCACCCAAAATATATGCAGAAACAATTATTTATATCTAATGTTATGCTTTTGTTATATAGTGGAATTATTTCATAGCAATGGTGATAAAAAATATTGTCTGGAAAAAATCATGCAGTGGACAAGACACTGTACAGAACATGTTTTTGACTGAAATCATTGAAACAGGTATGAAAGTGAATGACAGACAAGTGAGTATAGGATATTATTGATATATCGATGTATCGTTGATTTTAGTTACTTGATATCGATATATCGTTGATATGCTTTGCACTGAATCAATGACAGCTCTAATATACGTAACCTTCATATATAAGACATAAAGAAGTCGGAATTCATCACGGTATACGAAGAATAGCTTTATTTTTACGGACTAAATCAACAGGTTCTTCAAAATAACAATATTCAATTTTCTTTTCCTAAATTTAGACAAATAAGTTGTGATATACTGTGAGTTGCTTGAATTCTATGATATGTTTAAAACACGTAGTTTCAGAAAATTTGTGAATGACGTCATTCGGCGTTTTAACGATGCGATACGGAACGATTACTTTAGACATTTATATGCATATTGTCGTCTGCCGGGGCGCTCGAGACACATTTACAAATATTTTTTATCTAAGAAAAAATAATTGAAAGTCTGAAGACAAGCTTTGCTGTAGATAAATGATTGTGTTGAAACAAAAATCTACGTTTTAATATACATTAAATTAGTCATAATCCAATTGTTCATACATGAATTAAAATCTGGAGATAGAGTAATCAATAGGAAGTGTTTGTTACAACAAAATTGCATGAAAATTGCAGACTGGTTTGATTGAGTCTGTACATGAGGGATAATGAATATTTGCAACATCCCTCACGCCCCCAGCACCGGCTTGAGCAGTACTCAGTTTTCAACATTAAGTTTAATAAGATGCTAAAAATTATTATATAGTTCTCTTATCTTGGAATTTGTGTTTCAGGCCGTTTATTCGTTATTGATATGGTGTATATATTTATATATGGCAGCCTGCTTGTTAAATCTATTTTGGTAAAGTCTTCACTCTCTCTGTAAATGCTAGAAGTTTTTATTCCTTTATATTTTATTCTTATTTTCCATTTACCTCTTCCTTCTTTTTTTTATTTTTTTCCTTGGTATTAGTGTTTCATAGCATCTTTAGATTGAGTACTAAAAGCTTTGTAATCACTTAATTTAAGAATCTCTTGTTTGACTAATTTAATAACGATGCGAGAACATGTTTACTTTTTTATAAAAAAGATGATATACTCCAGTACGTAAATATACTGCTACAGCCATTGCATCTCTCTCTCTCTAGCCTCATTTTGAAATGAGGGAGGAGACACTAATTCCCCGGACATCATGGTTTCAACAACAAATCTTTAAAATTCTCGATTCTTGAGAATAATTTGAAATCCGTTTCTTATTCAACAAACAAAAAAATAAAAACGATTTCACATAGAAAAGAACCAACTCGTCTGTTGTTGTTTTTGTTGTTGTTCTTGTATTAAGATGTTTTTGTCCGCATTGTCAATTCGTTATTATTATCTTTTAATCATAACTGCATTACAATATGTTTTATTATACAAACAAATTATGGAACAATTACGCTTGTTTTGTTATTTATAATAGAATTGAATCCAATGTCAACATAATTTCCATGGAATGCCAATTTATGTTTTTGTCGTTCGGTATTATCTTTTATTTGTTTGCAAATGCTTTTATCGGCGGCATTGATTGCAGATAATGTCAAATAGATTTCATTTAATGCAGAGAAAGAATTTCTTATATAAAAAAAATCCTATTCACTTTCCTGCAACATTTAATCTTTCACTATCTAACGCTGATAAGATTTTATCTATCATCCCGGAATAATAAACAGAAATATAATTATGTTTAACAAAATTACGCCTCGTGGGTGACATTTATAAACATACATGTATTTAACCATTCTATTTAAAAATACATAGTTTTCAATTATGTTTTATCTTCGAATATTTCTTAAGATTCTAAAGTATTTTCGGAATAGACAACTCAGTTAAAGAGGAGTTTGAATTGAAATAATTTTTAATGGGCGTATTATTTCTCATTGATCTTATCTACTACACCATTAACAAAGCAATTGAATAAAAAATTAAAATACACTAGGAAAATCTTTTTTTTAATTAATCTCATTTATTAAGAGGCCCTGCTTGTATTTTATATATTTTAAATATTGCGTGTGTTGTTCAAAATTTATTACTTGTGTCATTTATTATATACAAATCAAAATTTGCAAGGGATCACCTTTTTGACATTTCATAGTACAGTCCTATTACCATCATATTAAAATCATATTTCCGCTAACGATATCCCAGTACAGGGACCTCATAATCGTGTACTTAAATTATCGATTTGTCATGTACACCTTGCACGATAAGCACGTGGAAAAGCATACCCAGGAAATTTGGTGTTTTATGGCCATGTGCGTTCACTTAAACGTGTACAAGCAGGAAGACTTCTCTCGTTTTAATGTAAAAGTGTGTTCGAAATTAACAAACTATGGCAAATCGACAGGTAAGACGTCGTTTTAGTGAAGAAGAGATGAAGAGGGGTATTGGAATGTTGAAGGCTGGTCGTACACAAAGGCACGTTGCCCATGTCCGTGGGGTATCCCATAGCGTGGTCTCAAGGATGTGGAACTGATTCCAAATGACTGGAAAGTCTTGCAGGGCCACGCCGGAGGTCGGAAACGTTCGACGACTCAAGACAAGGACCGATTTATTGTCATTCAGGCAGGCCAGGCGCCAACGGCTCTCGAACGCTACGACCTTACGTAACGACTTCCAGAATGCAACTGGTGTGCGTGTAAGCAGACAAACTGTTAGAAATAGACTGCATGATGCTGGCCCACAAAGGCCAGCAATTCGCATTCCTTTGACACAACGCAATATTCAAGAGGGTTTGCAATGTGCGCAGACTCATGTCATATGTACAGTTAATGATTGGACCCCGGTCCTCTTCACTGATGAGTCAAGGTTTTGTGTGGACGTCACAGATAGACGGGCTGGGGTTTGGAGGAGTCCAAATAAACGGTTAGCTCCAGCATGCGTTGCAGAACCTGACCGTTTTTTGCGGGGGTTCAGTTCATGGTGTGGGTGAGAATAAGCGCTCAGGGGTAAACGGACCTTCACATTTGAAAACGGTACACTGACGGCAGTAAGGTATGTCAATGAAATCTTAGACGTCCATGTACGCACGTACGCTGGCGCAGTCGGCCCTGATTTCATACTTATAAAAGAACAAAGCCAAAAATGGAACACATCTTCCTTAAATACTGATTTTGTTCATGTCGTCAACAAATGCAATGGAAGCAACACACGAAGAACATCACATCTCAATATAGTTGTAATACCAATTCCACTTAAATAGCAACTCCACATTGATGATTTGTTAAATCGTTTTAATTATTATACATCAAACAATGTGGCATACCTATTGTTATTTTAATTTTTTAAGTTGGCCTATTAAACAGTTCAATTGTATAATCTACTACTACATTCTACGTCTGTCCTCTGTAACTAACACACAGTAAACACTTGTTGCTCGAATCAGTCTCTGCTTGCCAACACACTTACTTGTCGTTTTTATTTGTTTGGGTCGTCAGACCAAACAAATAATGGTAGCGAAATTTCAGACTCTAATGCTGTTAATTGCAAGTGCCGAAAGTATTCCGCTTTTTTGAAGCGGTTACTTCCCTTTATATGTAACACTTAGGCCGAAAAATGTAAGGGAGATCACTGCGTAAAGATAGTCACATGACAGGCGGATTAATTTTCAAGCAAAATAATTCCCGAATGGTCGAAGATTTCTAATATTGTTTTATTCTTTATAAATATACATGCTTATAGTAAGCGCCATGATTATTTACACAAGTGTTAAACAACAGTAAGCGTCGTTATAAACCGTAAATAGAATAATATGGTTTTCTTCAGGCCGTAAACACCGTGGCCGAGGGGTTAACGCGCTCGCTTAGGAAGCGTGAGGTCTGGAGTTCAAATCCAAATTACGGCAACTCTTTTTTTTCAAATTGTTTGGATCGAATATCAGTGTTGCAATAAGTCTTATAGCCAATCTACTACAATTAAAACGCTGGAAAGCATTGGTGGCACTATACAAATACAAATTGTTTTATAATCTAACAACCTTTCTGACATCTGAGACGCAAACAAATTCAGCGCCTTCTGTGCTTTGATTGCAAATGTATTCTTTACCTTATTATCAGGAAAATAAATTCGGATTGCAGACAAGGACAGCACAAATTTAACACAGAGTCAGGAAAAGTGTGAATGCATACATCATTTATTTGTTTTCAAATGTTTTCGATGGCGCCGTTCAAACGGCGATAATGTCAAAAACTTTGAATGTAGAGGAGAATGTTGTAGACGAATGTTGTAAGATAAATCTAATTCCTTTCAACATTCAGTGTATCTGTCACTATCTTATGCAATTACAATCAGTGCTTTTTCGTTTATTTCATAGATAAACTTAATCTTGCTGCTATCTTAAATAATTTCAATATAATGTAGATAGAATAACATAATCCATCATAAGAAACAAAATGACTCGACGTGGGCGAAATATAAACTTAACGTTATCAATTTAATTATATATGAAAACCAGTTGAATTGAGTCAAATGGTGTCTGATTTTTTTTATTTACAATTTTTTATGATGATGAAGATCCCTGGCTCTTAAAAAGCTATAAATAGATACTGTACAACCCTTGCTGAACGACTCTTATGGTGCCTATACCAAGTGACTTTTTGTGTTCTAAGTGGTGCAGCTGCAGATTGCTAATCATAAAGTCAGTCTAGGATTTTTTCCTTCAAGTTATAAAACTTTTTATAGACAAATTATTTTATAAAGTGACCAATACGTAGAATTATTTTGGAAAACAAAAATATCGTTAAATTGAACAGCTTGAATATCTGACATTTCTAAACACGCGGCTTCACTTTATGAAAACATAATGTTTGCCCCCAAAATTATTAAGTATATGTTATTCACTTTGAGCAGGATCTACTTTTTATCCCATTTAAACTGAATGTAATGAAAGAAAATCAAACTAGACCGACATCTGCAGATCTCCAAATGTCGCGTGGTATAGGCAGCCTGTTATATATATTGATGCATATCACATCGTCTATCAAAAATCAAACTATTTTAACATATTCAAACAGACAAATAAATTTCTAAACAATCTTAAATGCAAATCAATAAATAAGCATGCACATAGCTTTTCGAGGTTACCAATGTTAAGTGAACGTATTTTTGTATGCACTAGAAGACACAGACTTCTCTCATAACTTTTACGATATGTCTTTTTTAGTTAATGGATTAACAATTTTACAATACTTTCAATTCTCTACTTATACTATCAGTCAAAATATTAAGGAAATCTCATCTTGTTTGCATGCTAGGAAATCTCATTTTGTTTCATCATGATAGCTTATACATCATGCTAAACTGATAAAACAAATGTTACATGTATTAACAGTTAATAATGAAAGTTTTTGTCAGAACAATTAAAGTAAGTATCCATTTTTGCGATGCATGTAATTGTCCTGAACATGATCAATAACCATCGTTTTTAATTAAATTATGATATAAAAGTGCTATGGTTATGACCCAGTAGGGCTCGAACCCACGATTCCTAGACTGTATGACAGATACCTTTTACGTCTCCGTTTTACAATGGTTTGGTTTTTATACAAATGTTTGAGATATGTGCGTTTTTGTTTTTCGACTTTATCTATTATATCTAATATCATTAATGAATAAGTCTATTTATATAGTGCAAACAAGCATTTTATATACTTCTATATAAATTCCTTAAACGTAACAGATTGGGATTATCTTATAATTCATTTAATAAGTAAAGTACTCCAAGAGAAAGGGACCAAAAAGCCAGCAACATTTAGCATATACATTGATAATTAAATATCATGTGGGGGAAATAATGATGTCACCATTACATCACATTATATGAAATACAGTAAGCCCTTTGGACTAATGTGTCACTAACGCAAAAGTACACAGAATTAATGTATCACGGTAGTATTACAAAAATTAATGCTTCTATAATATTATTTAAAGTCGCTAGGAACAACGAAGCGATAAAGTGACATTATGCCCATCCAAGGGTGTATAGTGAGTGAATGATGAATATCAAAATAAGTTTTCATTTTGCCATAATTCCTTTTAATTAATAATTTACTTCCCATAAACAATAAAAAAAATACACAGATCCAAATAAAATTTCTGTAAATATCTAACTAGAATTTACTTATAACGCTCAGTTTATAAAAAGAGTGTGGCATTCTTTTTATATTTTAGAAAGATTATAATTTTTTATCCTGGACGTTTTCCAATATCAACTGTTGGTCAAACACCATTTTTAACAGTCAATCTTTTGAAATATAAAGTCAATTCAGCTTAACTTGACTATGAAAAATATGAAGCATAAAAATGTCACTTTAAGACTTCTATGAGTGTCAAATGTTTCAGTAAATTGACAGTCATTTGCCTAAAATTTGCCTCAAATTAACAGCTGTAAAGGTCAAAATGTAGTCGCTTCTTTTCGGCAGCAAAACGTTATATTTATCGCAGTAAAATTTAAAAAAAATCTGTTGAACAGTTCAATACTCAGAAAATCACGATGTGTCATATTTTATGCTAATAACCAGTACATATATCCGGACAATATTTATCGGTTCTGAAAACGATAGCTGCATCTAGGCTTCTTTGATTCGAATTCAGAAAACAGAAACGAAATATTTCAACTCTTGATATGAAATAAAGTTATTGATCAATATAAAGCGTTTGTATGATCCTGAATCAACTGATTCTTGTATTAAGTGTAAGCGATGATCGTTTTCACGTCTCTAGATTGAAAAATTGCCAGACAGAAACAAATAAAATATCTTTTTGTTTTGATAGATTAGAATTGTAAAATATCAATGGCATAAAATTGCTATGGCCAAATATAGTATGTGGCTAATATAAATTGTGCAAGCCTAGCAAATAAAATAAAACTGTCTGAAAAAATAAAATATTTTAACACTGTCGTAATCCATCATAATGACATCTATTTCTGTTTTTCTTTTAATAACGTAAGATAGATTGATATATTTAAGTGTCCGTTTCTTTACATCACATCCTAGGGAAGCTATTAAAGAAGCTTTATAATCTAATGAAGTCCGTCAGAATGATACATTGTTCAATATCGTTATCATTATTTCGGCCGAATATAGATGTTACATTCCTTCCGAGTTACTTTCATTTTTTTTGCGAATGCACTTATAATACTAATACTAATATTTATAATACATGAAACAGTTCATTTTTACAGTATGCTGTGTATACAAATGTACTTTTGATTAAGTTAAAATTATGTTTAAAGTAACAAGAAATGAATGTAACATTGTATATAGATATTGGCCGTCAAAGTCACCCAGTGGTATGCCGACTTATATAGGGCTTGTGTAGTCTCTGTTATATTGTATTTGTACACTATCTTATAAATGGAAAAATATTCATAGTTTTTAAAAATCCAACTTACAAAGTCAAATCGCATTAAAACATGACTTAGCGCAAAGAGCTCATGACAAATAAAAAAAATGAGCAACTACTACCAACATCAATGTATCAACAACAGAAAAAGACATAATTGAACGATTTGCAAAATCAACAACCACCAATTTTCTCTCTGTGTGTGATGCATGTAGAACAAATCTTGTGAAAATGTAATTATAACATTAGCAGATGTGTTAATACGAGAGAACAAATAAGTGCAATCATTGATGTAATATGCATTATCAATTACCAGAGCACTGGAGAATCGGCAAATCGCATCGCACCAGTGTGTGAGATTAATCTTCTTATCAAAACAGATTTTTTATATTTGTTTCGCTATAAAATAACCTAGTTTATTATATGTCGACAACCGCATTAAGATTCTAAGATTTTTGCGACAAACCATTATAACTTAAAAGGAATAAGTAGTTTTGTTTTTATCCTTTGCTGTCAATTGCATGCCATGGTCAATAACCATGATTGCAGGTTTTATATTTAATATTTTATACATGTGTATATCATTTT